GCAGCATCATTATTTATAATCTCCCCAAAGAGGGAACATCCAAAAGTCAATCAATGGAGAAATATATAAACAAATTGAGGATTATTTCTACAATGCAATATCTTTCAACCATAAAAAAGGAATGAAATATGAATCCATGTGATAAATTTAAAGTTTACTGTGCCAGCCTGGCCAGTAAACACATGTGGGGTTAATTGAAGGGCAGAGGTATAAATGGCTTGGTGAGCCTCGCCTTTGTAGTTCTCCAGTCTCTTGCTTTCTGATGGTTGGACCAGGGTGCAGCTGCCTTAGCCAGTTCCCTGCTTCAGATGGCAAGGCTCACTTCCTGCAAGACATCCCTGAGGAGAAGCCACATGGACCTACCCCAATACAGCCCTGGGTGCTGGAGTAGTCGTGTGGAGACCCCTCCAGCGCTGAGATGCTTACACATTCACTGACTCGGCTTTCCTCCTGCAGCCGGCATCATTGTGTGTGTTTTGTGAGCTGGAGGAGGACTTTGTGGATTGGTGTCGGACATATGGGTTAATGTTGGACTTTGGGGCTTGGGCAGCACTGGTTTGGGATGTTTTCTTGATGTGCACTTACCCTTTATATAAAACTCTCTCTTATACATATGAGTTTCTGTGGATTTGTATCTCTAAAGTACCCAGACTAACACACCATGTTACAATATATATCAATATAGATGAACCTCTCTATATAGCATGCTAGTAAGAAAGAAAATAGACACATTGTATTACTTCAGTTATGGGAAGTATTCACAGGAGGTAAATTCAAAAAGACAGAAAGCAGATCAGTGTTTTCAGAGGCTGGATAAGAGTGGGAATAAAGAGTGATTTTTAGTGGTCTGGATTATTATTATTTTTTAACTCATATAAATGTTCTAGAACTACATAGAGATGGAGATTGTACAGCACTGAATGTACTAAATGTCATTTAACTATACATATTAAAATGGTTAAATTTACATTGTATGAATTTTATCTCAATGATTAAATGATATTTATATAGGGCTCTGTAACAGAAATATCTCTAATGTTGAGCTTTACAAAAAACAGAAATGTATGTTCTCAGTTTAGGAAGATAGAAGCCTAAATTCAGGGTGCTAACACTAAAGGGTCCTATCCTTTCAGCTCTGTGCCTTGGGTACTTGGTGACCTTAATGTCGTATGACATGTCTTCTCCCATCTCTGCTCCCTCAGTTGCTTAATTTATTCCTTTTGTACCTCAAAGAGGTTGACTCAAAACACACTTTACATAAACACTTTTCATTAAGAAAACATAGGAAGGCCATACCCAAATGGGATTATAACCTTTTCTATATAGGACGTATTTCAACGGGGTGGTGGGAAATGGAATTTTTCCATGAGCATATACATCTGTATACATACACAAACGCGCGCGCGCGCATGCACACACAGAAGAAAAAGGAGGCTGTCTGTTCCTGTAAAGAGTTAGTCTCCGAGTCTCAAAGTGGCAGTTCTGCGGTATCCTATAGGGAGGCGACGAATCAGCATTGACTGGATGGCAGTGTGTTAGTGAGTAATATAAAAACAAACTCATGGTCAAGTCAATCCTGACTCCCAGTGCCCCTACCGGACCGAGTAGAACTGCTCCATAGGGTTTGAAGCCTTTCATCTTTAAAGAAGCAGACAGCAGCTTCTTTCTCCCTCCCTCAGAGGTGCAGGTGGGTTGTAATCAACACCATTTTTTTAACCACTGCGACCCTAGGGCACTTACTGCAGGTGTGTTGCTGCTGGTAGCTGCTGCTAAACTGGTTCCCACTCAGCGACCCTACGTGCCACAGAACAAAACACTGCCTGGGTCTGTGCTGTCCTCGCAAACCTTATTTTTGAGCTCATTATTTAAGCCACTCTGCCAATTTATCTCACTGGGAGACTTTTTCTTCTCTGCTGTCTCTCTACTTTACCAAGCATGATGACCTCAGCTCTCAGGTATAGCCATTAAGAATTTTTTCAGG